GGTGATGAAAGAACTCTCGTGCTCCATGTCACGGAGAATAATACTCGTAAAACACCGTGTTTTAGCTGTTTGTTGCTACAGAAGCACATTTATAACCAGAAACATGAAGAAGAAGAAGAAAATATCATTTCTATAGCGCCTCTCAAGATAAAAATCATGAGGCGCTTAAGTTGAAGTTGCCATCTTAAACAGAGTAAAAGATTTTTTGTGTGATATGCTTGTCAGCCACTAGATGGCGCCATCGGATAAGAGAAATACTCCGAAAAGAGACTTTAAGTACGGTTTAGTGAGGATTCTACGCAATGATTTATAAATGAGACCCCAGGACTCCCGATCACAGCGGTCTGGCTCTGCTTGTAACTTAAAAGTCCCAGTCCATGTTGGATCTCCACAGGCGACCAGCATGACTACAGCCTCACACGGGAGCCAGTCGGTCATGCGAGCGGGCTACCCCGCTCCCTGGAGCCCCTCTTGGCTTTTTGGGTTAGTTAAGGTAGCTAGAAGCTACATTGGTTACATTTGTTCCAACCCTGTTCCTAATGTAACAGCCCCGCCCTCAGCTCCGCCTCTTTTACCATTTTTGGATTGTCTGGGTGTGACTCGGACAAAAACATTCAGTAGTGGGAAACTCCCATTTCTGGCTTCAACTTTCCCCCGGCGGAGCAATGGGCGGGCTATGTCCATATTTTTACATGTCGATGGTGCATATGCAGGAATGAGATCAGACGTGTGTTTTGGTCCCATGCCATTGAGTGGTTTATAAACCAGTAGTAGCACTTTGGCATCTATACAGTGGTTTACTGGTAACCAGTGCAGGGATCTAAGAACAGGAGTGATGGGCTCCGTTCTCTAAGTTCTTGCTAGGACCCTAGCATTAATGCATTTTGTTTATATTAATTACCTACATGCTAATGCTCTGTAGTAGGGCTGGGCATCGTTGGATTTTGAACGATTCCGATTCCAATTCCTCGTTTCGATTCCGGTTCCTATTGATTCCCGATTCCGATTATTTCAAGACATGACACGTTTAACATGAGCCAGCCGACCACAGGTCCTACTGGATGAAATAATCTTAACTTCAACATGAATTTTAACTCTATGAACAACAACATCACCTTCATTTAGACACAAACGTGTTTTGGAGACAAAAGAAAAAGACTTGCAGCACAACCAGTGTGTTTGTTTCTGACCACAACCAAAGTGTGGAAGCAGCCCCTGGCATGAGAGGCTACATGAATCCGTGTATCATTCCTTCTATTTTCAATTGTAAACAATCAAAAAAGGAAAAACGAATTTTTTTTTTTTATAAATGGGTTCAAAAAACAAAAAATGTCTGTTTTGTGTATTTTCTATATTTTGTCTTGGATCAAAAATGAGAAATGGAAAAACTGCCGCTGGACCGAATCTGATATTAATATTTCGTTAAAACAGCTAAAACACGGTGTTTTACGAGTATTATTCTGCGTGACATGGACCACGAGAGTTCTTTCATCACCGACAACACGGCCCTGGGTGGAAAGCAAAAAACAAACAAAATTAAGATGCTCAAAATAATTCCAGTTTTCAAATAAAACAATTTTTCACTCAAACAACCCTTCCAGTGTAGAAAAGTAAATCTTTTTCATTTTGAAGACAAACGTTTTGATTAAAACTAAACAGAAATAATGGATTGCAGCAGAAAGTCAGTAATTCATTGAAAGATCAAGATTTTTAAGGTAAGTTTGAGTTTCTCAAAAGTTGTTTTAGACTTTTTTATGTGATTAATAGAGAAAGAAAATAACCTCCATTCCTCTAACCAGATCCAGCCTTTGGACCGCTGGGTGGCGCTAAAGCACCTACAGTAGTCACCACCTGCCGTAAAACCACAGAAGAAGAAGAAGGTGCAGCAGCGAGCAGCAGCTGTAAACATCAGCAGGCTGTGGAAACTTTCTTCTCCTCCTCAACAACTTGGTGGAGTTCTTTCCAGAAGCAGAGAAGCTATTCTGCGGTCTTCGTGACAATCGGAGCTCCAGAAGCAGGTGATGGGTGAGAAAAGCTTTTCTCTAGACTTCCTGCCCTCTGGATCTGCTGCTGTTCCTTTGGCCTCTCTGAGAAACGCGCTCGTTTTGCTGCTTTCATCAGATTGAAGAGGTTCCCTCTATCAGACTCGCTCATCTGAGTTGGTCATGATGCAGGATCGCTGCTCGCTCTCTCATCCATCCTGCTCACACTCTCCGACGGAAAAGGCCCGAATCTGAATGTGACTCTGGAGGAAAAAGCGGTTAGCTCTACTCCGTGAACTCTGGTGAGCAAAGGTCCTCTTTTCCAGACTGGATGTGTCCTCAGCTGATCAGAACCAAAGCGTTGGATCTTTAATCTCCTGCGTTGTTCTGAAGCAGCATCTTAATCAGCTCTCCTGCTTTGTTTCTATTGCAGCTGTTAGCTAAACACGGCTAAAGAAAACCTGCTACCACTTCAGGATCATCCATCAGCTGGGACTGCTTCATCAGCATGGACACAGGTACTGGGGTGTGTGTGTGTGTGTGTGTGTGTGTGTGTGTGCGTGTGTGCGTGTGTGTGTGTGTGCGTGTGTGTGTGTGTGTGTGTGTGTGTGTGAAACGTGAAAAACTCACTTTAAATAGGGGCGGGGCTTAGATTTCACCTTTCCAGTACCTATAATGCAGCTCATTCCTAAGCAGCTTCAGTCCAGGTCACACCTTCCTGCATCTGATCAACACAATGACTCATCAGGGGATGGAGAGGAGGGGTATTCAGAGTAGTTTCTGCTCGTTAAACAACAACAACAGCTCCCTAGTTGGGATGCTGCCTCCGCGACCCGGACCCGGATAAGTGAAGGAAGACGACGATGACGAGGATAGAAAGCGTCACAGATGACCCATCTTCCATACGCAGCAGGACACACTTCCGGCGTGGCTAGCACCTCCGACGCCTCCACCCTAATGCGTCGCTCTGGAAGCAGAACATCTGAGGGGGAACGGCGGTCTCTGGTGCCTTTCACCTAACGTATCAGGTCAGCTGATCACAAGTACAGGTCCTTCTCCAAAAATTAGCATATTGTGATAAAGTTCATTATTGTCTGTAATGTACTGATAAACATTAGACTTTCATATATATTAGATTCATTACACACAACTGAAGTAGTTCAAGCCTTTTATTGTTTCTAATGTTGATGATTGTGGCGTACAGCTCATGAAAACCCAAAACTCCTGTCTCAAATAATTAGCATATTTCATCCGACCAATAAAAGTGTTTTCAATACAAAAGTCAACCTTCTAATAATTATGTTCAGTTATGCACTCAGTACTTGGTCGGGAATCCTTTAGCAGAAATGACTGCTTCAGCGCGGCGTGGCATGGAGGTGATCAGCCTGTGGCACTGCTGAGGTGTTCTGGAGGCCCAGGATGCTTCGATAGCGGCCTTAAGCTCATCCAGAGTGTTGGGTCTGGCATCTCTCAACGTTCTCTTCACAATATCCCACAGGTTCTCTACGGGGTTCAGGTCAGGAGAGTTGGCAGGCCAACTGAGCACAGTAATACCATGGTCAGTAAACCATTTAGTAGTGGTGTTGGCGCTGTGAGCAGGTGCCAGGTCGTGCTGAAAAATGAAATCTTCATCTCCATAAAGCTTTTCAGCAGATGGAAGCATGAATTGCTCCAACATCTCCTGATAGCTAGCTGCATGGACCCTGCCCTTGATAAAACACAGTGGACCAACACCAGCAGCTGGCATGGCGCCCCAGACCATCACTGACTGTGGGTACATGGGTCACTGCCTGGCGGCTGCAATGCCCCTGGGTAGGTCTGGGTGGGGGCCTGGGGGCTCGGGGTTTGGGGGTGGCCGGCCCCGTGTGGGGATCTGGGCGGGGCCTTGGGGGTCGGGTCCTGACATGTATGCTGCCGGGAAGAAGGCAGGAACACGCAGCAGTGCCTGGCCAGGGTTCGGGGGCCTCAGGTAGGCCTTGGCTCCTCTGCTGTTCCATCACAAGGGAGCGGGAGGTCCAGGAGGGGGAGGACCCAACCTTACCTGGATGTCCCGTGTCTTATATATTCTGGAAGTTGTGCAAATGCAGGGATGGGCATAGATATTCTGCTGGGATGGGGATGGGTTGGTGCCCTCAGGCTCCGTGGGGCTCTGCGATGCTGCTGCTTTGGGCCCTGGCAGGATGGGCCGGGGTCTCCATGCCCTGGGTGGCAGTTTGACAACAGAGGTGCCTATTGGGGCCAGTAGGGGAGCTGGCTCCCTGGAGGGCTAAGCCCAACCAGCCATTCCTCCCCATCCCCGCATATTTCTCTCCTCCTGCTCCCTCACATCATCAGAAATCATGCACATAGGACCTTGGGGGGTGGACAAGTCAGGGAGTGCAGGTATGGACCCCATTTCCGCATTCCTGTGGCAACCTGCCCCCCAATTTTATTTGCACCTTATACACTTCCACTGACGACATTCCACACAAACACACACTTAGGGCCTTGGGAGTGAGCACATTCAACGGCATTTGGCAGGGGGATTTCTCAGCCTCCTCCCGAGTGCCGGTGCCCTCTTCCAATTTTAAACCGCACTTAGACACTGATGGCTGAGGGTGTAAGTGGGGTGGTGCGGTGGCATCAGCTGGCATATGCCGGATGATGCCCGCACTGCCCGCTCACCACAGCCATGAAATACACCTCATGATCACACAACACTATATTGGAGCAGGCGGAGGGAGACTAGGGGTCTTAGCCACCTCTGTTGTTGCTTGGCTTCCTGGGCCTGGAGGCTAGGAGGGAGATCTGGCCGTCTGGTTGGGGTCTGGGGTGGTGGGTTGCTGTGCTCGGCGTTGGGCGGGGGAGCCTGCTCATCAGCACCCCATCAGAAAGGGTCGAACTCTGGTAACCGGTGATGGTTGTACCCAATGTGCAGCAGTACCGGGACCAGAGTGAATAGGGTGTGTATGGGGAGCATGAGTGGGTGTCCGGCATGCATTTTTGTAAGTCTTGGGTTGTATGTGCATGTGTGAGCGTGAGGGAGGGAGTGTGTGACTGTGTTTGTGTATGACTGTATATGTCAGGTGGGGCCTTTGACTCCTCCCCTCTCCTGGAACTTCTCTTGATGATATAGATCTTTGTCCCCCCTCCCCCTGCCACACCTGGTGTGAGGGGTTGTGTTGTGGTCTGCCTGAGTGTTCGTGGCAACCGGGTCTGGGGGTTTAAGGTTTTGGCATCTGCCTGTTAGATCCCGGTGGCTGCCTGGTGGGGTCTGGGTCCCTGGGCTCTGCTGGGTCCCCGGCTGTGGGTACTTGACACTCGACTTCAGGCATGTTGGCATTTCCCTCTGCCCAGTCTTCCTCCAGACTCTGGCACCTTGATTTCCGAATGACATGTAAAATTTGCTTTCATCCAAAAAAGTACTTTAGACCACTGAGCAACAGTCCAGTGCTGCTTCTCTGTAGCCCAGGTCAGGCGCTTCTGCCGCTGTTTCTGGTTCAAAAGTGGCTTGACCTGGGGAATGCGGCACCTGTAGCCCATTTCCTGCACACGCCTGTACACGGTGGCTCTGGATGTTTCTACTCCAGACTCAGTCCACTGCTTCCGCAGGTCCCCCAAGGTCTGGAATCGGTCCTTCTCCACAATCTTCCTCAGGGTCCGGTCACCTCTTCTGGTTGGGCAGCGTTTTCTGCCACACTTTTTCCTTCCCACAGACTTCCCACTGAGGTGCCTTGATACAGCACTCTGGGAACAGCCTATTCGTTCAGAAATGTCTTTCTGTGTCTTACCCTCTTGCTTGAGGGTGTCAATGATGGCCTTCTGGACAGCAGTCAGGTCGGCAGTCTTACCCATGATTGCGGTTTTGAGTAATGAACCAGGCTGGGAGTTTTTAAAGCCTCAGGAGTCTTTTGAAGGTGTTTAGAGTTAATTAGTTGATGCAGATGATTAGGCTAATAGCTCGTTTAGAGAACCTTTTCATGATATGCTAATTTTTTGAGAATTTTAGGAATTTGGGGTTTTCATGAGCTGTACGCCAACATCATCAACATTAGAAACAATAAAAGGCTTGAACTACTTCAGTTGTGTGTAATGAGTCTAATATATATGAAAGTCTAATGTTTATCAGTACATTACAGACGATAATGAACTTTATCACAATATGCTAATTTTTTTTAAAAGGACCTGTATGTGTCCGCATCGGCCAATGTGTCGTCATTAAAGCGGGTATAAAGTCAGGCGTTCTCGGGCAGCCCAGTGCTGTAGTACACCTTCATTTAAAAGTATGTTCTCTATAAACATCTGCATAATAAATACTACACCCTAACTTTATTTAGGTGTGTAACGGAATTGAAGTGATGTAACTATCTAGAGTTGTATTTTAATACACTGTAAGTAGATCACTTTTTATAAACAGAAGAATAGGCTGTTTTTTGACTTTAACACTGAGCAGTGTCGTGTCCTTGGGCAAGACTCCTAACACAGCCTTGCCTGCTGGTGGTGGTCGGAGGGACCCGTGGGGCCAGTGTACCCCAGGGTTAGCTGTAGCTACATCGTAGCTCATCACCACCGGCGTGTGAATGGGTGATGATTGCGAAGTGCCTTGGTGGGGGCGTTGTTGAACCCTAGGAAGGTACTAAACAAGTACAGGCCATTGACTATTTAACTGAGCAGGAAGTCTGTGTAGCTGGGTCCGCTGCAGAAGGAAATACAGGGTGGGTCATTTACATGGATACACCTGAACAGGATTGTACGCTAGCTTGTAGCATTGGTGCTACGAAGGTCCCAGGTTGTGTAGCACCAGCATAAAACATGTGTTACAATCTCTAAAAACCAAAAGTAGATCTTATAATGACTTCAACACACGTCCAACACCAGTGGTGCATGTAATTACACACCATAACAACCACCAGAGCAGATTCCTGCTAGCCTGAGTCTCGCTCACGTACGTTACTATAAAGCTGATTCTGAAATATCTTCAGACAGTCTTGTCCATGTCATTTAGAAAAGAACATTTTCTATTATTCAGGTTAGTGTAGATCTGTTCAGTACAGAGGTCCGTCCTCAACGGCATAGACATAGAAGGGTAGACGCTGATCACTACTGTGTGCGATAGTCGCGTTTTCATGGTCGACTTTTTATAAACTGTATGGTTAACGGGATGTTTTAGCTAATGCTTTTGCTCCGTGGAGATCTGTAGCTCTCTGACTGCGGTAGAGTACCGTTCATAAACCCGTTCACACGCCAGAAGGAGGGCTCACCTTATTATTCATCAGGCTAAATACCTGTGAGTTTGTTTATGTTCACCAAAACAACAAGTTTGCGAATGATCGTTCACTTGTTCAGGTGTAACACCACCGTGTTGTATTTATAAACTCTTACCTCTCAGACGTGGTTTGGTGCAGGTTGTTTTTGTGTCTCCTTGTTTGTTTGTTTTCTGTTAAAGGTTTAAAATAGGCCTGCAGCTGTTGGATATTTTATATCTGAATATTCTATTGAATCTTCTGGTTATAGAATATTTCATGTGACGTGTTTCTTC